GGAGGCAGGCTCTGTGGCGAGCACTGTGGGCAGGCCAGGCCTGCTTGCTGGGTGCTTTCCCCTGGCGGAGGCTGCTGGTCTGTATCCTGGTCACCATGGCTCTGGGAGAAGAACTGTCTGTGCCAGTTGCATCCGTTAATGTTAAAATTGAAGATTGTGAGGATAACAGTCTTGTGGTAAATGATGCGATCTTTGTGTTGTTTTTGGTGTTGCTTGACCTTACTGAAAGATGTGACACAGACTGCTTTCTGTGAGGTGGTGAAGTAAAAACTCCGTTTCTGGAGAAATTGGTGGTTCAAGAATGTGTCTCGTGTCAAAGGCTCTGACTTTAAGTGAGGGGTCAGGTTCTTCAGGGTTCTTGGTAATCATGCAAAACCTCTCTTCAGTATGAACATAGCTGCAGGATGTCAGTAGATAAACTTTGAAAAGTGCTGTTGCTTATGCTGATGATCTTGCCTATATGAATGAATGAGGTACAGTATAAACTGCTCTCATTCCTGTATGTAACCCTTTGTGCAACTGCTTAGAAGTTCTAGTGTTGTTTTCATACCCTGGGATGTACATTTGAGGTTCTTACCCACACTTTGTGTTTATTTCTTGTAGGAGGAGGACTGTCCTGGTCATGGTGATACAGATCTATCTGGATAGTGAGACCTGGATGACTGGGATTTAAGGTATGTCTGTGCTGAAAAAGTGTGCTGATCTGAACCATGAACTGTGGCTTTTTTGTTGGTGGCGGTAGTGGTGATTGGTTTTTTAGGGTTTGTTTTTTTTTTTTTCTTAGAGTTTGTACCAAACATTTAAAGAAGAATCCATATATGCTTTCTGATACTTGTGCAAGGTATAGCATAAATAAAATGCAGTGGTGTAACAGTTGAGACACCTGAGTAGCCTTTATGACCTTCAGGAAAGACAAATGATATTTAAATACCTTGTAAATGCTGCTGCTACTCTAAGGTGAAATGTAATTCAATGTGAAGGTGACAATAGGTGTATCCAAAAGTCCACCTAAATGAATAGGCAGCAGGCAGCTGAGATGGATCTCTTCTTCCAGCCTTCCTGTCATTGCCTCTTCCAATTGCGTGTTAAAATAATTTCAACCATTCTAATGGCATTTATATAAAATCTAACGTTTTAATCACAGATCTGTAGTCTGCCCTTTTTGTTGTACACTGTAGAGAACCTGCTTTAGCAGGGGGTTTGGACTTGATGATCTCTGGAGGTCCCTTCCAACCCCTACAATTTTGAGATACATTTGCCACTTAATTCTTAGTTCTTGGCTACTAAGATGCTTGAATCTGGTCCTACCAAGTGGAGTTTTATGGTTTATGTTGTTTTCTTGAATATAAATGATTTTTTAGATTCTTCTGTAATGAGTGAGGTGTGGTACAAGTTCTCCAGCCATCACAGAGCAGGCTGCAGCTGTGTGACTTGAGTATATGGTGTTAAGGCATTAATGATCTGCTCTATGAAAGTGACTAACAGAGTACTTTGTTGCCAGCCTCGTTCAGTTGTGCTCAGCACTATGCTTTGGTGTCATCCTTGCTTTGTAATACTGAGGAACTGATTCTTTTTTGAAAGCTAAAATTATAAATAGGCCCATGGTTCCCTGTGCTGTCACTGTTTGAAAACAAACTGTGGGGTGAGAGAATCTTTCTCCTTCACCTTCATCTGTCATTACCCTTTACTGAAGAGAAATGAGTTCTTCACTTGTAGCACCAAATCTGTCTGTAATGGAGGATGGACATTCTGGGAACTCAGATAAAAACCAACAAAGAAAATGCCTTTTGTTTGCAAAACACTCTGGAAGTATAAAGCTATTGATATGTATCATTTAAAAAACATTTCAACTCTCTGTTATTTGAAAGCTTGAAGTGGTGTTTAATCCAGCCAAATTTTTAATATGTCTTACAGTTGTTTTTCCTGTAGAAAACTGGAAAGCAAACGAAGAACAAAAGAGACCTTTTGTGTGCGTATGTGTATCCGATTCTGCTGCTTTCATAAAGGCAGCTCCCGCGCTGGTGTAGAGCATGGAATCCCATGCTTGCTCTTTGAAAATGTTATAGTTACTGTGAGTAGAGAGACGTGATTTCTTGGAGATGATCAGGAGGATGTCACTATTTTATATCACCAAAATAATGGATAGAAAATCCTTTCATGATTTCTTAAGCTTCCTATAACAGAAGTGATGCATGATTCTGGCTATAAAGGCTGGTAAGAGCTGTGGTCCCACTATTTCTCTCACAATAGGTGGCCTCTGTTTTTTCTCAAAGGTACTTTGGGTACTGTTTTAGATGTTGCTCAAAAATTATGAGAGAACTCTTTTCATGCAACTTGCCATAGCTTCTGAAGGCAGTGAGAACATACTGTAAAGAGTATAAGTTTGAGTAAAGGCTAGAGGTCTGAGGACAGTGAGTACACTCATATGTGCTGTAGAGCTTGACAAGTTGGAAAGGCTTGCAATAGAAAAGTGAAACTTGGCGACGATTCCCAAAAGATTAGATATCTATGGTCATGAAAAATGAATTGAATCTTGACAATTCTGAATACAATTAGTTGTGTAAAACTTCCTCAGAAAATATTTAGTACAAGCATATTCACTTCACATTTCTTAACTGTGTGCTTTCTGAAAGTAAGCAGAAATAGGCTGTTTAAGCAATAATACCAGGCAGTATTTCACAACTTCTTACTGTTGGAAAACTTTTTTTAAAGAATATTTTGTCTGAGCTTTTGTGTTTTACTGCTGCAGAACAGTAAAGGCAAGCCCTTTTGCAAGGGCTTCTTGCAAAAATTAAGCATACAGAAAATCTAATCCTCTTGAGAGTGGTTTGTTGAAATGTGTGCATTTGGTGTGGTACCTGTTATGAGTATTTTCATGCTTGCTTTGCCTGAAGATACCTGTATTAGCACTGGGTTAGCCAGTGTGTAGGTGCAAAGTGTGGGGGCTCTCACTATTTGCTTGGTATTTTGTAGGTAAGAACCAGTCTTTGGTCACTTTTTTTTTCCATAGAGTTTCTCTTGGGCTTTGGGCTTGCAGTGTTTGAAGTGCAATACTCACAATTTTTGATTTTTTTTTTTTTTTTTTTTTGGTTGGTTTGTCCAGATCATTGTGATGTTTTAACAGAAATGTTGTCGAGTGCAGTTGGACTTGATGATCCTTGAGGTCCCTTCCAACCTGAGTAATTCTATGATTCTAAGTAAAGAAAAATGGAGTAGGTGGAAAGTGCATCTTCCACACTGCTGCACCCCTCTTCTAATTAATCATTATTGGTAAGAAAGGAAGCTATGCTTTTTGTCATTCCCAAGAGTTCAACATGCGTCTCTGCACATGGCACATTGCTGCCCTATGATCTTGGCTATTGATTATGATCAACAAAAGAACAATTTGAGAGCTGTAAGCTTTGGATGGAATGACTGGTTCACTAATCTAACATTCCTTCTGAAAACAGAAACCTTGTAGAAAGTTTTTGAGGAGCAATCTGTCTACCTGAGAAATTCATTGAATAGAGATCAAGAAGCAAAGGTTTTGGGTTAGTTTTCTAGATCTGAATTACCCAGGCCTCTTTCCAAAACTTTTCTTGTGGTGTCCCACTGAAAACATCAGGAATCTTTGTGTTTAGGAATACTTTGTTTCCCCCAAACTGTGATGACTCAAGGCTGTTGTTGTGGAGATGTGCAAAGCAAGGGAAGGTAGAGAAATCTGAGAAGTGATGACTTAATTATCATGCTTTTGCTAATTCCATTGAATTGTGGATTCTGAATTCACTGCTGCCTTGCAAACCTTAGTGTGTGAGACTTGCAACTGATACCTTTTCTAAAAACAGGAGGGGAGGAGAGGGAGCTCTGTTTATTTCAACAAGCACAAGCAACACTTCCAAAATACACTTGTGGTTGTATCACAGTTATGAATCTTAGGTTATCTAGTGGTGACTAACATGGTGAAATGGCAGCCTAATATGTCCATGCTTTATTTGGAAAAGGTAGTTCTTATCAAAAGATGAAGAACACCAGTGTTTCATTCACTGTGTTTGTTGAATCTCTAAGCACAGATACCATGTCTGTCAACACCTCACATTGTGAAATACAGGAACTTGCCTTTCACAGCTGCACAGTAAGTTCTTGAGGATTGCGTGGCACAGAGACAAATGTCCTCCACTTTCTCTCCTTCCATGTGCATGTTTTTTAGTCTCTCTTATTGTATGATCAAAGTTAACAAAAGTCAGAGGTGTCTCTTAGTCAGAATTACACTTACATTGTGATACGGTTTGTTTTTTTTAAGACTGCATTATCTCACTGGGGAGGTGGTTAACAAATAGATTGTAACAGCTTTCCAAATTCTTTGGGTAGAGCCAAGCTCATACCAACTATTATATTTAAGAAGTCCTACAAATTAAAAAAAAAAAAAAATAATAATAATAATAATAAAAAAATAAAAAAACACCTTTCTTTACTGCAAAGTTTAATCTACAGAGTTTGGATTTGCTTCTTTAGTAAGACAGCTATCCTCCTATTTAAAAATAAAATGAATGAGTAAATCCTCCCTGGCAAACCAGAGATTCTCAGTCTGTGGGTGTATGTAGTTTGCATTGAAGAGAAGCTGGGCTGGAGGGCATAGACTATGGCATAAAACATATGTGCTTACTTCCACAGGCAGCCAGCGCCGTGGAACTGGGGCTGTGGGATTCCTCCCTGCTGCCCACTTCTCTCAGTTCAGAGCACAGGCAATTGTTTGGCCCCGTGACAATCACACCAACTGTGGCATGCGTCTGATAGTGAAACAATGAATGGCTTGTTCTCTCAGGGGAAAAAAAAAGTGGGTTGGGTTGAAAAATGATAAATAAGAATTTATCCGTGGGTCATTTTAGGCTCTCACGGCAATTTGAATGTGCTGAATGAGTGGCTTCTGAACTGAGCCAATGGGGATGGTCAGGCACAGGCATCACTTTTATCCCACACGGGGGAGGAGGGGTGAATGAGCTGGAAGATATAAGCTGAAACAAAGCCATGCAGTCCTTCTGAGTCATTCGCATGCACTGGATGGGTAAGGCTTCCTGCTTCCTGGGACACAGAAGTGGGGTCATGATTCTAACAATGGATGCTGGTAAGTTGCTTGTTATTAAATTTGCCTTTGATTTTTCTGGGAAGTCTTGCCTTTCCCTCCTGTCTCCAGCTGCAAAAAAAAAAAAAGCTGTAAATTAGGAAGCTGAATGTTAAATAAAGCCATGCCTCCTTTAAGCTGTGTGCACTCTACTGTGTGGTTTTTCTTGACAGTTAGTCACAGAAGTCCCTCTCTTGCAATGGAAGACCATGGTACCAAAGTTGTGTTTATTCATTTGTATATCTGTCGTCATTGAGACAAAGCCTGTGATCTGAGAAGTAGTATCGTTTTTGTATGATACAAGTCAGATTTTACACTTTCTGTAAAGAGCTAGAGACAAACTAATGTGTTAGCTGTAGCTTACTCCACTTTGTGCTTACAGAAATCTTGTGCTGGGGAGGAAGGGGAAGAAAGTGTTGCATTCCCATGACGATCAGTTCTGTTTCTGTGTTTATAGCTAAGGAAGTATGTGTGAAAAGAGCACATACAGGTTTTTCGTTGTTGTTTTTTTTTTTTTTTTTTTTTTTTACATTTGCTGTGGAAGTGAAATCTTTAGCATAATGCCCTATGTAATAGGGAGGATGAATGCCAGCAGTAAGATGCTGGTTGTAGGGTGGTATGTCTAAAAGAAACAAGGGATCCCAGTTGTGCTCCTTGAGGAGGGGGCTGTGTTTCCATCTCATAGCCTGCATCCTTCAAATTCCTAAGCAAGAAAAGTCCTAAGATGTTAAATGCTTATGGGTAGGGCATAAAGCATCAGCACTTGTGCTCTGGCAGTGTGCTGACGACTGCTCTTTCTCTTAGCAGTTGCAAGCATGCTTGCTGCATTCTAAGAGCTCTGTTGAACTTCTGTCAGCAATTGGTTCAGCTACTTTTCCACTAGTGTGCAGAAGTAGCACAATGTGACAAGTAGCGTTCAAACTGATGAACTTAATCAGGCACATCTTGCAGGTCTGTTTAATCTACTTGTCACATGCTCAGTTTACTCCATGCTAATGAAAAGCTCTCTGTCCGCCCTACATCTGAATTAATTTGTTTGGGCACTTGCTAGAGCCTAAAGGGAAACTCTGTGCCCACTTCCAACTCTTTCTTTTCTGAGACTTGCAGAAAGTGACACAGCTGAGTTCTCCATGCACTGTTTGAAGGAAATAACAAGCCTGTTCGTTTAACCCACCCACACTTAATTGACGTTACTTTGTCATCCACTGTCGCTGCAGACAGGATTGAAGGCAGTGACTTCTGTGTTTGATGTATGTTGCATACTTTGCAAAGCCCTTTTACTGAGATGATAAGATGAACAGAAGCTCAGAGAGGAGTGAGGTAGCATATTGATGATAAGGTGTTCAGAGTTTTCCACAACGGGCTTATTTTTTATGTTTTATTTTGTTGCTTTGATTCTAGAGGAGCCAAATTTCTGCTAAAGCAGTTTGGGCACTGGGAGTTAGTAATGCTCTTCTCTCTGCCTTGTGCAGGAAGAACCGATGTCTGCGCTAGATGATGCACCTGGTATTTGAGGGGGCAATGTGCAGGCTGAAAGTGCTCCCAGCAGATAACGGATTCAGACTTTGTGCACAGGGCACATCATCCCTGTCAGAGTCTTGGAGTTCCTACACTGTATTGGAGTAATTTAACTCTTTGTTTTGGAAAGACTGGGGAGATGTTAATAATACACAGTTAAAAATACATCTGTTGTTTATGTATCCTTATGTATTTGTGTGCTGCTGCTTTGCACTGTGAAGTGAACCATAAAGATAACGCTGCTCATCTGCGTTCCCCCGGCTCCAAAGGGTATCTCCTTTCACTGAGCGCTCGGGGTCGCAGGGCTCTGGCAGCCCTTAGGGTGCTTTTCATGGTTCTGTTGACTTACATTGTTAGCAAGAGCTCATTTTGGAAGCTCCGAAGGTATTGAAGAGTTTTGAAATTATAGTCCTGAGCTTCTTGGTGGGCAAATAGTTCAAAATGCAGAAAGGAAACATTATAATATAAGGATTTAACTGTGAGTTCTAGTGCTTTGCATTTGTGTTCAAGTTATGATAAAAATATGCAAGCAATTCAGTACCTTAATCTGGGCCATGGATAGCACAACATGAAGTTATATCTGCTTATTTTTACCCACCTTTTAAGGCTGAGCTGACTGTTCTTGGGACTGTTTACTTATTTCAGATTGTATGTTTGCATTACGAGTCAGGGCTCATTTAAAAAAATTACTGGCATCAAATGCTCAAGATGTTTTTAACACAGCAAAACCTTTTCTCCTTCAGAGAACTGTAAAAATACATGCTTGTTTCTACTTTTATGAAACACGTTCTATTCTGCTGCATTTGTCCCTGCAGCATTTAATTTCTTGTAGGAATGGAACTTTAAAAGTTGTGGATGGGGAAATAAAAAGGAAAGCTGCAAGACAGAGCTGACAGTATAATTGGATTTGAAGCAGCTACAGGCTGGGACTGTTGCAACAGCTGATTTGATCCTTCTGAGTTTCAAGAGCTATTTATGGTAGATTAGCTGTATCAAAGCTCTACTGTTCCAACCATAAAAGGCCGGTCCTATGCGAACTTGCCACACTGCATTTGGCTTAGTCCTCCGAGGTTGGAGAGCCTATAGCTTTTTATGTGGATAAATCCAGTGATGGATGGAAGTACTAAAGGCAGATCGAGGAGTAACATTGTCGAGGACTTCAGATGGCAGCGAACTCTTAAAAGGAGATTTTCACTAATAAATTTTGTGTTCTGATGTTTGGAATCAGCGCTTGGAGTATAGCTCCTGCGTGTGCACTGCATTTGGTGAACGCATGCTTTTAGGAAAGCGTTGTTCTAAATTTATCTGACTTATCTGAATCATCTTGACTGCACATGTACTCGCCAGCCTTGCATGTTGATATCTGGTAACTTTGTGAAGTCACTTTTCCGTTTTATTAGCGGTGAGCATTAGTCCTTTGGAAAGGAACCTTAGCTGAAGTGAGAAACTTCTCTAAAACAAGAATCATGAAATTCTTGGCTCACGAGTGCTGCCGGAGTTATCAGTAAGTATTTTGAGAAGGCTGAGCCCTTCTGCTGCGTCTGTCCTTCTTTCTTTCCTCCTTTGCAGAAGGGCAGGCAAGTGGATTTTTGCAGGATTCTGAAGTAAGTCGTATGTCCTTCGCAGAGCATGCGTGCGGCCACCTGCGCCAGTTGTTGGAGGCTTTGTCAGGTTGAAGTGATAGTGGGTTTATTCCAGCCTGTGCATGCCACTCATTCAGCTCTCCTTAAGGCATTTTGTGTTTTTATTCTTGTGGTTTTGCTTGGAGGATGAGTTCATGCTGCTATGAATGGAAGGTGGTTGGCTTGTGTGCGAGGTGAATCTTTCTTAGTTTTCATAGACTAACCTTAGGTACAGCTACAAGCAGCCCTAAGAACTCTGAAAAACAAGATTTTTCAGTAGCTATTTTGTCCTGTCTGAGAGATTCTGTATACATAGTGGATACTATTGCATTAGGTAACTGTTGTGTGTTGGCACCTGGAGTTTTCTGAAGAAAGCTTCCTCCAACTTTCCATTCCCTTGTTTTTAAATGTTACTAGGACGCAACAGGTGAAAGTTACTGCCACTGCTTTTCCATCCACTACTGCTGCAGATAGGCTGCTAACAGGGAGCACAGTGAGGGTTGGGGGGAAGAAGAGGTTCCTTCAAGGGTGTTCCAGGTGTTGTATTTTGGTCTCCAGAAATGCAACAAGATTGTCTTTACCAAGTTTTAAAAATAGCTCTATTAATTGCCTCTGTTTCCCTTCCAGGAGCTAGCAATTTAGGGCCATCCTCCATTTTCTTTGGACTGTAAATATGCATTTGTCTGTCAGATGGCTCTAACATTTTTGCTCTGAACTGTATAAAAATGTTTTAGCCTAGAGAATACCAGGAGACAAAATATGTCTGAATGTTTGAGAAGTATTTTTAGCAGTTCAGTGCAAGGATTATTTATTTGCAAAAAAAATAGATGTATATTTTTAACTTTTCTCACATGAGCCTTGGCAGATACCATTTAAATACTCACCTCTATTTGTAGATTTTATAGGAGATTAGATCCTTCTGCCTGCAGAGGCAATGGAGAAAAAAGAATATTCTGATTATCTGTTAATTCTTCTCTGGGATTGGCAGGAATATAACCTACCAGGTAAACATTTCTTCCTTGGTGTCTATCTCAGAGGATATTAGTTAGTCAATTTAAGCATTAATTCTACCTCTTCCAATGCTGTTTTATCTTGGTTGTATTAGTAAATGACATTCTTGGCAGAAGTCTTCAATGTGAAAGAGATTTTCAGAACTCTAAGGGCTTGTTCTGAAGGAGTAAAGCTGTGTTTTTGATGTTTCTTTGCCAAATTCCTTATATTTGATAGTGTCAATGGGTTGAAGGTAATAGGGGGCAGGCAAGGAGCCGTAATCCAGCAATTCCATCTTTGCTTTTTGTACAGAGAAGATAGATTACAGTATAAACATAATCTGCATGTAGAGCCCAGAGAGGGGGAAGAAAAGTAAAACTGTGGTTTGCACATTTCTTCTTCGCAGTGAGTCTAAGCAGAGCTGGAGGTGGTGGAGCTGAGCCATTTGTGGCAAAGACATTCCCAGAGGCTGGAGAAGCCTATTGCTGCTTCCTTGTGTGGCCATGTGTGTTACCATGCGTACATCACAACATCCTCTGAACTTGTTTTGGAGTTACGTTGATGAAGTGGGTTGAAAGCTTTTTATAGTCTTAGTACATTTGTTTAAGCAAACCTCTTCCTACAGTGTGTAGAATTTTGTATGTTTGTACAAAATGTGGGCAGCATTGTTATTTTCCTTGCTTACAATGAATTGACAAGACATGCTGTTATGTGTGAAGCCTTTCATATCATGTACTTAAGTGAAAATTGCATGAGCTCATTTAGTTTAAATTGCCATTGCTAGAGTGCATTTTTGCTCTCCAATTTGTTGGCTCTTGTGCATGGCAATTTCACTACAACTTCAAAAAAGCTAAAGCTGTGGAACAGTTTGCA